ATTTGCCTGACAGAATGAATGTAAGTCCTGTATCTGTACCTAGTCACTCTTGGTGTGATTCCTTCATGAATTTGCATATCATCCTTGCACATGGGCCATGCTAATCTTCTCTGTATTGTTCCAATTTTAGTATATGTGCTGCTGAAGTGAATACTCCCTATATGATTCCTGTAATGGTTTATCGTTTTTCTAATTCTCCCATGCATTATTTTGTTGGCTCTACACAGTATTTCAATGGTGATAGGTAAAGTGGGTATTATACCCATCTTGAGAGATGAAAAAATTGAGATTCAGAAGTCATTCCTCAAAAAAATAAGGGAAGGAAGATGATTAATGAAGTTAGAACTGAAATTGTGCTAACTCTTGAGTTCTTTCCACTACCATTTTGAGTGTTCAAAAGGTTTTTAGTTAGAAATACAATGCACTTATAATATTAAAAATAGTGGACAAAAATGCCTATGGGGAGAGAAAGTGAGAGAAAATGCAATACAAAGAATAACAATAAAGGTATATGTTAAAAAGAGAAAAATCGAGAGAAATTTAAAAGGAACAAAGTAGGAAGGAAGTTGAAGGCAGGAGATTGAGTTAGAGGTGGGAGAAGAAAAAAGAATAAATGAGTATAAATAAAGCTGAGAAAGAGAAGTGAAAGAAGTCTACAAAAGAGTCACAAGTTAAAAAAGGAATGAGTAAGAACATACAGGAAAACAAAGAAAACAAAATAATATTTGAAATGATTATCTGTCTAAATTTTTAGTGGCTTATACCAGAGGGTAAATGTCCTAAGAATTCTAATCCAGGATCAAGGGCACTTTTTAAAAATAGATATAGTCAAGCAAATATTAAATTACTTTTGCAAAATACCTAAATTTCTAGCTTGTCTACAACTCATGGCCTACAATATCCACAACTGGTAATCTACCTTCTAGCTTTTTTACATGAAAAAAAAAAATTCAGAGTTAAAGGTTTGGGGACTTATGGGTTAGAACTGGGATATTTCCCATGATGAGTGCCATGAAGCAAGGAGTTATGGAGAAGAAAGATAATGTAATGCCCACTGAAAGGCGGGGTGGTCTTTTTAGACTCAATTAACCATACAGACTCACAAGATGATCCCAGCTTTCACCAGGCTACTCAGTGGGACTTAAGGAAGGAAACACAGCTTGCCACTAGGGCAGCATCAACCGCCTCTTGTCTGTGACAGTAGTCCTTGATGTGGTCTATGCAAGTGTCTGCATTGCCACCCAGGCACCCATTGCCTCCCATAGGAGTTTCTTGGAGTTAGAAGCCCAAGAACCAAAATATCCTATAAGAACTCCACGACATAACCTGCAGGGATCCTATAAGGAACATGCCCAAATACACGGTCACTACACTTAGGGAAGCCCAAAGATATGGCTTTCTAAAGGGTATTTATAGTTCTCCCAGTTCACATGCAATTTATCAACAAGAATCATTCTTCCTTACATTTTTAAAATTTTTATTATTTATTATTTGTTTATTTATTTATTTTAGAGGGAGAGTGATTGAGGGAGAGGGGAGGGAGAGAGAGAGTCTTAACAAGTCTGTGTTCTGAGCATGGAGCACAATGGGGGCTCGATTTCGTGACCCTGATGTCATGACCAGAACTGAAATCAAGAGTGAGATGCTTAACTGACTGAACTACCCAGGTGCCCCAAGGATCATTCGTAAATTAAAGGAATGTTGTCAAGTAAGATAGCAGGTTTAGTCAGAACTAGAAAATCAACTGAAGGCCAAATTCTCATTAAAAACTGAAGGTTTTGTTGACTTTTTCCCAGAGACACAAGCCAATCAAAGCAGTAGTCAGTAAACTGGAAACTGAGAAGACTATATCCTTATATCCTACCTTCATGCCTACCCTAGAGCATATTAGTTAGCAAATAGAAATAGCAAATAGAAATATTTTGGTACGGGGTGGTCCTTTAAAAGAGCACCATCTTTTGTTACTGACAGGAAAGAAAATACAAAGAAAAATACAAAGTTTATATCTTTAATGTCTCTAGCCTCTCCTCAGTTGACAGTGATTCTAGAGAGATCCTCATCTCAGGTTGAGTTGTAATATATGCTAAATATCTCTTTTGCTATGTATTTATCATACTTGGATTAGTTCTCCCTAATGTTATTACTGTTAATCACTTCTTCTCTACCTCCCAAAGCCCCACCCTAGAATAAAATTAATGAAAAATTTATTCTTCATACAAACAGTCATACTAATACCCCAATCTTGATTTCTTTTTAGTGCAAACTCCAGGACCTATTGGTAAGTTTCCTATATATACATCAACTCATATATATTACTCAAATTCATAATAGGTAGCATAACATTTTTCTAATAATAATTATGGTAGGGGAGCCTGGGTGGCTCAGTGGGTTAAAGCCTCTGCCTTCAGCTCAGGTCATGATCCCAGGGTCCTGGCATCGAGCCCCACATCAGGCTCTCTGCTCAGCAGGAAGACTGTTTCCTCCTCTCTCTCTCTCTCTGCCTACCTCTCTGCCTACTTGTGATCTCTGTTAAATAAATAAATAAAATCTTAAAAAAATAATTATGATAGTTTGTCAGTATACATTAGAAGAATGTTCCAAAGCAAAGATGCAATAGAGAGAATCTGGGGGAAGACATAGAAATGAGAAAGAAGACAAAAGAAGGAAGGCCAAGAGAGTGAAAAACAGTGACATGAAAGAAAAAAGATGGGGAAAATGAAGGGAAAGGCATACAATAAAGATTACACTTCAAACACCTGTAGTAGGGGGCGCCTGGGTGGCTCAGTGGGTTAAAGCCTCTGCCTTCGGCTCAGGTCGTGATCTCAGGGTCCTGGGATCAAGCCCTGCATCGGGCTCTCTGCTCTGCAGGGAGCCTGCTTCCCTCTCTCTCTGCCTGCCGCTCTGCCTACTTGTGATCTCTCTCTGTCAAATAAATAAATAAAATCTTAAAAAAAAAAACCACCTGTAGTAGTTAAAAACAAGCATGAAATGTTTCTCCCTCTAACTAAAACAGGGTTACAAGTCTCCGAGGGGAAGATCTGATTCTTACGGTGAGGATACAGTCCAGTAAAAATATTTAATCCTGGTGACTAGGATTTAGTAATTCTGGCAAGGTATTTAACTGTTCTCCTTTGGAAAACAGTGGTATATGTGTTTATCATGTACAACAACCACAATAATTTGTTTGTTTCTATTTTTAGTGCAATATACTGGGCCCAGTGGTAAGTCTCTTATTTTTTTCCTCTGGTGTTTTCTTTGATCTTCTACAGTGTATAGAGGGCTTGTCCCCTGTTCCAAATGTATCTATTACCATAAGGACAGTGGTTTTAGACATGTTTTCATGCATCTCAGTTTCATTTGCTGAGAATTCCCTAAAGTTATTTCTTAAGAAAAAATGTAAGAAAATGTCCCCAGTAATGGTCATAATGGCTTCTATAATAATACAGAATTTTCTAAAGTAACAGAGAAAGAATAATGGTAACTTTTTACTTCTGAAATAATTTGTAGTTCATAGAGGGCCTCTTCAAAGACAACAGAGACAATATAAAGAAAATTTAAAAAAAGGAAAGCAAATTTTAAAATAAGTGTAAAAGAAGGGAAAAACAATCAAATTTAAATAGACTGAGGTCTTACCAGTTTTCTTCCAAGTTTCCTGGGAAAAATGCACCAAAGAATAATACTAAGGTTCTAGTCTGCACAGAATTCCCCAATCTTTTCTACCAAAACCTTCTCTTTCTTCACGTCCTATCCTGCCCCTTGTCCCAAACACACACACCTTGTCCCAAACACACACACACACACACACACACACACACCTTCAGGGAACAGGATATGATGGTAGATGGGCTGCAATTATAGGAACTGCCAGATACATCAGACAACTTCAAACTATAAATGAAAGAGAGTGAAGGGTAAGCTAATATTGTGACTAGGTAGGGCAAAACCAATGTCAAATTCTAGGATGTCAAAATAAACCAAACTCAAGTCATTGTAAATTCTGAGTCTGGAAATTACGAAACAACATTCCAAAGTTTAAGCCAAAAAAGAGGACATTATCAGAAGGCAAGTCAGATATACTCAAACATTCCTTCAACTAGCTGAGCTCTTGTATCAGAAGCCGAGCTGAGGCTTAGATGAAGTCATGAACACTACATCAAAAAACTTATTATGTACTATAGGCTGGCTAACTGAACATAATAAAAATAAATAATAAATATACTTTCAAAATAAATTCATGAATAAGAGAGGAAGATTTGGTTAATCTCTGGAGTTTAAGCGCCCTGAAAAGGGATGGAAAAGAAGGAGGACAGCCATGCTCCTGCCCCAGACCAGCAAAAGACCTGAAGATGTGAAGCATGGGGGTAGGAGCTTAAGACCAGATGATGCACTGAGCTAACAGGAAGGTTTTAGAGTTCCCTGCATCCTCCCTGTGGTTACCCTTTCAACCCCATCATGGAAGAACTGAGTTCTCTTCGTTCTACACACACTGATTACTCCCTTTTCTTCCTTCCATTTTTCCACCAGGTGAAACTTCAGAAATGACTAGTAAGTTCCACACTTGTTCTTATACAGTAGTTGCCTTTGGCTTCTTGCAGGGTCTGCAATCCTTTGCTTCTGTCTTGTGGGTATAGATACTCATGTTTCTCCGCCTCTTGCTTATTCCACTATCTGCCTGCATCCCCACCCAAGGAATGAATGAATGAAGAGGAATACAAACCCTACTTAATAACCCGAAAAACTTAAAATAGATATACTATATTACATAAAAATATCAGAGGAAACTATCTGTCAACAAGGGTTGGGGAGGACATTTGTATGAATGAATGAAAGCTTGCACAGGGTGGCAGAAACAGGGAGTAGGAAAGTAAAAGCAGCACAGTTTAAATTACCAATCTCCTGTAGGATTTGAAGCAGTTACCACTCACTGCAAAAAGGGAAGAGATAACTCTCTTTCCTGAAGCCTCTCAGACTAAGCAGGAGGCAGAATCCCCCAAGGCATGATGGCAGCTGGGTTCTCCAGCACAGTGCACAACATCTATAAGGGTTAGATGCTCCCTCCATGAACATTTCTGATACTCCCTCTCAGAAAATGAGCAAGAAAACTAACTCCTCTTTTCACCAGTCTTTCTACACTAACTTCTCTTTTTGTTTTTCAGCTACAGGATCCTCTTGTAAGTTTCACTGTCTCCCTTCATGATGGAACTCAATTATCTCCAGCACTGTCTAACAGATCTACTTAAACAAAAATTTATCCATCCATATTGAGATAGCTGTAGCTTAAGGATCTTATTTCCTTGACCCTTATTTTCCCATTACCCAGAATTCCACTAGGTTATTAATAAGTTTCTAAAATGTTCACAGAGTCACGTAAAAATTAAAGAGCAGAGAAAAAGGTTTCTCCATGGTTCTAAAGATTGGCAGGGACTTTCCATACAGAAGAAAAAAAATGAACAGGAAAAACAAATACAGGTGATATTTCTATTTTCCAGCTGGGTCATCTATATGAGCAATTAGTAAATTGTTTGTTTTTTTCTTTGCTGTTCACTTAATCAAAGTCCAGCAATGTCTATTGAAATTTGAGTTCTAGTACACGAACTTGAAACTTAATTTCTTAGCGTTTGCTTCTCCATTAACCTGAATTCCACCAGCTGACTGTAAGTTTCCTGCAAAGTTCAAATACTCCTGATCAGAAAAACTTTTCAAGCAGTTATATCACTAGAAAATTTACCAACAGAAAAAATGAGTAGGAGAGTAAATGAGCAGAGGGCAATAAGAAATGTCTCTGCTTATTTTTTAGTAGGATCAACTCATCACACAAACAGTTAAGTCTGTGTATTCATTTAATTCTCTGCCATGGACTCAACTGGCTTTTAGTGGGGTCCAAGAGTCTTTATCTGACCATGTTGTTGTGCAAAGGGCTTGAGGTACCTCGCGGTCCCTTGCTATTTCATTATCAAAGTCCCTCTGGGTGATTCATGATTCAGGAGAAAGTTCTAACAGTATGGATTTACATAAACAGGGGAGAAAAAAAGGTTTGCTTAGTTACAGGGACCACCAAGAGGCTGCCTACAGAAAAGGAAAAAAATGATGGAAAGAAAGGAGGGGATCAGAAGTTTCTAAAACAGTTTTTCATTTGGACCTCCTGCCCTACCTACCCAGTTTGTTTTTCCACATTTGAATTCCAAGACATCTGAGGACAATTTCCCTGACCATTTGGGATTTTAGAGGCTTGAAGTTCTTATTTCTTAGACATCCTGTATTCAAACTACGGATAATTCTCCTAGTTTTTTAATAATTTTATGGAAAAAGTCAAATTGCATGATTTACATAAATAATGAAGATCAGAAGTGAAGGCTTCCCGGTGATTAAAAATAGCATGTTACAAGGGACAAAACAAATTGAATGGGGAAGAAAGGAAATGGAGGTAACAATTTTCTCTGTTCTGTTTTCCAGTTGGATCAGTTCCACCTGCCCTCGGTAAGTCCTTCCATGTTTCCTCCACCATGGAGTCCCAAAGCTTCTTTCCCTGGCTATGCTGGGATTTCTGTGCATGGTTACATACTTCCTTAACCACTAGCCTTTCCATGGACAAATTCCATGCTTATTAATTTTTTTTGAAAGTTCAAATCTTGCTCATTTACACTGAAAGTAAATAAAGACCAAAGGGAACATTTTCCCTATTGTTATAATGACTTAATGAGAAAGAACTCTAAACCGAGAAGTGGGGAGAAAGAGTGGAAGAGAAAAGGCTTACAAAAATACTTCTTTGTCTTTCAGCTGGTCCACCACCTTCAATGCCCAGAGGTAAGTTCAGTCTGTTTTGGGTTTTGTGGATTTTTTTGTTTGTTTGTTTTTTACTATTTTCTGTTGTTGTCCTCTACATGGCCTACAGAACTATTTCTGCCCTACTCATTTCTAACTCCTGTGCAGCAGCCAGACACTCAGCTCTCACATTACTTTGCCTTCTGCTCATTCTGTGAAGTAAACCTCCATTTAATTTCAAACATTTGTTTAATTTGCATCTCCTCAGTGATAAGAACTATACAGGTGCTTTAACTACATTATATCCCATTTAATCCTTGGAGTAAATCAACTCTTTTAAGGGCTAAGAAACCAAGGCCACATACTTGCCCAGGAACACAGTTCACTGAACCATAGTTGGAACCAAGAGCCATGTGACTACCAAACTTCTTCCTCACACAAATATGCTTCCCTAGAAGGAAACTTGTTCCTTTCAAATAATTACTCACTGATATCTATTTTTTTTTAAAGGTGTGCCCCCGCCTCCCATAAGTAAGTATTCTGTTTCTCTACTATGGTTCTCAGGTCTTAAAGTTTCTTAAAGTGATTTGAGTTTCTCATTGCTCTCTTGCTTTCTTACTACACAGCTTCCCCTACATTATAGATAATTTAAGAATATACTGATGAAAAGAAAAGAAGTAGCATATGTCAACAAAAACAACAAAAAAACCTGAAAAATATAAATAACAGAGGTAGCCAAAATTTTTGAAAGACAAACAGGAAGTCCAAAGTAATGTTTAATTGGAGAAAGAATTTTGAGTGTTCCCTCAAAGTATGCTTTCTTCTTATGTCTACCCAGGTACTCCCCTCAGAGACACCAGGGGAAAATGTTAGATAATACTATATTTACTCTATTTAAGAAAAATTACATGGCTTTCTTTTTGCTTATTTTTTAGTGATTTCACAGAGAACCTCAAGTAAGTTCTTTACTTCTCAGCCTGTCAAATGTGAGATTTTTCCCAAGAAGATATATTCTATTCCTAAAGTGTACAAAAGATTGAGATTCATGTTTCTTATATTTGTTTGCTTTCACATTACCCAAGTCTTCCAGATTAGACTACCAGACCATCTTTTTGATCCATAACTACAGGAGTTCCCATTACTTCCATTCCTAACTCAATTTCCCAGGAAACAGACACCAACAGTGATTCAATATTTAAACCAGATCAAATACTGACAATGGTGATCTTTAACATAGAATTCATGAAACCACATTACACACTATGTTCAAATTTTCCATTATTCAAATCTGGTCCTCATATCTATGTAACAAATGTTTTTTATTCAATACCAATATCCTTTGGGGTTCCTCAGATTGAAATTAAATTACATTACTATTAAAACCCAAAGTTCTGGTCAAGACTTTAAAAATTCAGATGCCAGTGGAGCCCAGGAAGATAATACAAATGAGTAGGTGAAGCACATCACCTAGAAACAGTAAAAAGATCATGTTTAGTCTAAAGAGGGTAGCTGCTGCTCAGGTCTAACCAATTTCTCCATGCAAGAATACAGAACTAGAGGTGTCAAAACATCTCACTTAATCCAGATTTTAGATAAAATTTCCTAATTTTTAAACCATGGATCACTCTAACAGATTGCAAACTTGCTTATATAACCCTCTATTTCCATCTAAACACATTCTGATTATATTTTATAATATTAACTTTTGAACAATTACAATAATGTTAACACACAAGGATTAGTATCTGAGGAGGGAGAATTGGAACTGTTAACATAGACATTCTACATGTTCTTTCTGAATCGTGAACAAGGAGACTGACCAACTATATAGTCTCACTGCCAGATGAAATACTGAGCAGACCCAAGGATGAGGTTGGAAACTGCAGATGTCCATGTTTGGGAATAAGCCCTATAATTGGGAGCAACTGAGTTTAGCAAAAGGCACTATTGATTTTGCAGGTGGAAATTATAATCCAGAACCTAAAGTGAAGAATTTAGTGTCCTTTTCAGTGGAAGTACCAGAAAGGGTGGAAGGAGAGATTTTAAAATCTAAGACTCACGAGATTGGGAGGAGATAGAAACATATGCCAAAGGCACTAGAGAATACACCACCTTCTTTCTGGCTGGCTTGGTTTTGCCTGCTTTGTTTATTATTATTAATTACTATTATTATTATTATTAAAACTACATAGCTAAGCTTAAGTATAAATAAAGAGGGGCTGGAGGGTAGAATGATTTCAGAACCCAGAATGGTAAGAATTGGAATTGAGACTCCCTGAGCAAAGCTGGGATCAGAAAATACCCTACATATCTGCCCTAGCCATGAAAACAAAGTCACCTGCACAGCACCAGACCTAATCTGCTCAGGGCTCCAAGCCCTGCTGGAAGTGTGCCATCCATGCTATACAGGATCCCAAGCCAAAACACTTGAGATCTGGTTTGGTGATGCTGCACCCTTTTAGCTAAGGTAATAAAAACCACAAAAACTCCCCATAAGAAGGGAACTGCAGCAGAATATCCACGGGATAAAACATGACCCACAAAGCTAATTCTCAAGGAATAAGAGACACCAAAAATTTATGAAATGCATGAAGAAACCCAGCACCAAAATGACACCTCACAAGCCCCAATAAATTGGAGAATTTCAACCCAAAGAAATACAGCTGTAGCAATCTGAAAGAAATAAAATAATAAACTTTAAATCTTCAGAGATAGTAATGCATTTAACAAAAATATACTGGGTGCCTATTCTAGACATTGAGAATATAATAGTGGGGAAAAAACCACTACACTCAAGAAGTTAACAGTTTGAAATAACGGGCAAATAATGACAAATTAACATATAATTACTTTCAGATAAATGCCATGAAGAAATATAAGCAGAGTAACAGAAAAGACTGGAGAAAGACGGTATATAGAGGGGAGAAAGAGTGTTTCAGGCAAAAGAACAAGGATGTAGGTTCTGCTGTAAGGATGCATATTCTAATGTAGATAGATGAAAAGAAAGATGGAGGATGGTAGAAGATAAGGTCAGAGAAACAGGCCACATATGTGAGGCCTTGCAGTCCTTGGTAAAAAGTGGTAGATTTTTATTCCAGCCATAATGAGGACCCACTAGTGGGTTTGAACAGGGAGTCATAATGTCTGCTTTATAATTTTATAACATCTCTCTGACTACTGTATGGGGAATTAACTGTCAGAGAGTGACAAGGGCAAGGAGCTCAAAAGAAGAAGCAGGAAGACCAGTTAGTAGGACTGGAATTAAAGAACCACCAGTTACATGTGAGTGTGACAAGAAGCATAGTGATCAGGGTGAAGGTGGGGAGAAGTCTCCACATTCCATGTATTTTTGGGGTACAGCCAACAGATTCTGCCATTACACTGAATGTGAGTTTAAATGGAAAAGAACTAAAGGTAATTCTCAGGTTTGGGGCCAAAGCAACTGGGAGAATGGGGCTACTTACTGATCTAGGTAAGATGGACAGAAGGGCAGATTTAGAGGAGGCAATCTTGAGCTCAGTTTTGTGCATGTTAAATTCAAGATGCCTTGAACATTTATGACTGGTTTATTAAAAAGTCTGCACTCAGAAGGCCATGGGCATGGTCTCTGACACATATCTCTTCCCTACCCATTAACATTTGGGGTAGAACCTATAATTTTTAGTCATTTTAAACTATTAAAAACCCTCAGGCCACTCCTCTTGAAATACTCCATTTTAGCAATCAATCTCAGGCCCACTGACTCAGAACAGGGAAGAAGTACAGTCTCCTTCTTCTTTCCATCCACCTCCTCTGATTATAGTTCCCACTGAGCTGAAGCTAGAAAGATGGGTTTCACTTAAGTAGGTGCACAGTTTCCCTCCTCTGTTAGTTGCGGTCTTTCTTCTGAGGATATGAAACTGGATACCTTTCAATGTCATTTAGGTTAGGCACTCAAATGTCTTGTAGAATATGTGTTGAATTTTTTGAAGGAATCTGCAAGAACTTGCCCAGTTCTGAGGACTCTACTGCACAGTCTTTGATGGGAGAGTATTGACTCCAGTATGGCCTATTCCAGAGCTCCTCAGCTCCCTCTCCACAGTATACCTCATAGTCTGTTACTACCATCACCAAATAGGTGTAAAGTTGAGTAAGATACCAACACAAAATCTCAAGTTTGGATTGCTATGTCTGTTTTGCTTTTTTTTTTTCTTTCAAGATTTTATATTAATTCGAGTTAGTTAATACATAGTATAGTATTAGTTTCAAGGATAGAATTTAGTGATTCATCCCTCGCATACAACAGTGCTCATTATTTAATGTAATAATTACCCTCCTTAATGTCCATCACTCATTTACCTCATCCCCCAACTCACCTCCCCTCCAGCAACCCTAAGTTTTTTCCTTATCATTAAGACTCTCAGATACATACATATATAATACATATGTGATATATATAATATATATGTGATATATGTGATACACATATATATACATCTACATATTTATATATCACACCTTTTTTTAAATTTGGATTTTACAAACTTAACATATAGTGCAATATGGATTTCTGGAGCAGAATCCAGGTGATTCATCACTTATAACACCCAGTGCTCATCATAACAAATGTCCTCCTTAATACCCATTATTCATCTACCCACCCCAACCAACTCCCTCCATCAACCCTCAGTTTGTTCTCTGTCATTAATAGTCTCTTATGGCTTGTTTACCTTTCTCCTTTTTTTCCTTACCCCCTTCCCATATGTTCATCTATTTTCTTTCTTAAATTCCACATATACACGAGATCATATGGTATTTGTCTGACTTAGTTCACTTAGCATAATACATTCTAGCTCAATCCATGTTCTTGCAAATGGCAAGATTTAATTCCTTTTGGTGGCTGAGTAATATTCCAGTATGTGTGTATGTCTCATGTATTTTTTTATCCACTCATTAGTTGATGGACATTTGGGCTTTCTTCATGGTTTGGCTTTGTTGATAATGCTGCTATAAGCATCAGACTGCACGTATCACTTCAAATCTATATTTTTATATCCTTTGAG